GCATCGGCAAATTTGATAACAGGGCATATGATGTTGTAATCACCTGTAATTTCTGCTAATGCCTGCTGAACCTCTAATGCTGTCCATTCCCTCTCAGGAGATAGTCTGCTTGGAATCTAAAATATATTCCCACTTATTAGAAATTCAGCAGGAGACTTGTCGCACCAGTTTACTCAACTTACGTTATATTCAAAGGCCGTAGCGTGCAATAAAATTGGGAAGAGAACGTCTTCATCTATGATGTTCAGGGCTAATATATCAAGTGGACTAGGCCCAGTGCTGTTTGATGAAAACGCTTCCGGTAGTTTTGGGGCACTGCCTTTATCAAGAAAGTATTTTCGCAAACCGTATATCATTTCATACGTACCTAAAATAAAATTGAAAGTGTTTCATGGAATACATAATTTGTTCAAGCATAGTCTTTGAATGGCACCAAACGTGAAAAATCTTTGATTCACTGGCGTTAGCTCATGGTCGTTGGTAGCGCTGTTAAATGGGAAGTGGTTCTTATGAAGTATATTAAGTTAATTGAAGAACTTATGAGTTTTATTATGAACCCGACAGGGAGGAAGGCAAGCACGAGAGAATATAGATGTCGAAAAGTGAATTCTTAACGAAATTTTGTATTCTTATCAATTATTTTTGCGTGTCATTCATGGCTTTATGGTCATGAAGAAATAACTGGTTAGGAGGCTAGCTGTCTGTACAATCGAATGAGTTGAAGTGTCATCCACCATGAATGCTTCGAGCTCTCCAAATTATAGATTTTTTTGCAACTGTTTTTTATTTAATTTACAGTTTGTATCCTAAAACCTTGTAATGCTTATTTGCTGACTGTAAAGAAAAACTATGTAAAGTAGGTAAAGTAGTAGCATTTACCCAATAAGCCATCTTAATTTGTTTTACAGCCCTCAAGCTTTGTGGGATTGAGTCAGGTACTATATCGGTCTCAGGGGGAATTATAAATACCTCAGGATTGATGATAAGCAACTTAGAACTATGAGCATTCCAGTTTGAAGAATGAAGACCCAATCGTGTGTAGCAACAGATTGTTTTTTAAGACAAACATGCATTCAACTCCCTTTGCATTATTGCATATTTCATAAACCTATTCCAAGTTGTTAGATGGATGATCTGATTTGACGTTAGACTTGAGGTATCACAGGTGGAGGCATGTTATGCTAGTTCATGTGTACCAGAACGCCCCCCCCCCCACTGAGTACTGTTTATTAAATTGCTGTTATGTTACCTTCGTCTTTATTAACACCAAGCAGGATGCGGTGGCGTAACTCATCCTTATTTGATTCAAGAATTTGGTGAGGCCAACGAGGTAGAAACGGTTCGACAATTACTGGTCTGAATGTGATGTTAAAGTACAACGCAGCAGTTTCGAGAGCATCGGGGCTGTAGGAGTGTCCCAGACGTTGTTTACGTGTTGTTGACTGCATATCGGGGAGAAGATGCATTTTCCACTGATTCAAAGAGAAGGACCCGACCTCAACCGAACGTAAACAAGCCTCTATCTCTTCATCGTTACCATGGCAACCACTCAAACGGGCAAAGTGATGTGCCTTTGAAACAAATATGTGATTAAATATTCAACTCATTAGTTAAATAGTTATGATTTATAATAAACGACTTTTAATGAATGAATAAGGATGATATTATACCCTCCAATAAGTACATTAATAATGCATCATTTTTAAACCTCCAGGTTTATTTTTAAAATTACAGAATAACGAAGCCATAACTCGTAAGGCTTAGACAGGGAGGTGTAATATTTTCAGAATTATCTATTAATAAAATGAATTTGAAAGGTTGTCAGTGCACTTTATGCTTTGATGT